CCGCTGTGCCACTGGGGGCAATGTATTTATTAGTGCTTATTCAACATAAAATTTAACAAGTATAATTAATATAAGGCAGAGTATTTGAAATGCAGAATCAACACATTCCGTGTCTCCTACATTCTTCGCTAAAGTTACTTATATAAAGTATAAATTAAATGCAACATTTTTATCGATTTTTATAGCAGCTTAAATTTTTAGTGGTTTTATTTGGAGAATTTTTGAGTACAAAGCAAGAGATATGTCTACCATCCGAAGTATTTAGTATTAACATTTCTGACACACTTTAGGGAAATATTTTTTGTTGTTTCTCGTCTGCGGGGAATTGAACCCCTGGATTTTAGCTTTGCAAGTCTCACAAACTTACCACAGGCCTACTGGGGGACATTATGGATGAAACACCAAGTAGTGTTGAGAACTCTAAATATGTTTGAAATTCAGAGGTTACTTTATTTTATAAATTTTGTTGTAAAAAAAAAGCCACAGTAAGGTTACCTTTGAATATAGTCTTCCCTAATTCTGAACTGATAGACAGCAATTAAGGAAGGCTTAACTGATCAACAGCACCTATCACCAACCCTGGGGCTATTCTAATCATATAGTGGGATTTGACTGTCACTCTTATCATGCCTCAGATTCGCAGACTGGTTAGCTAACCATTAGGTCAAACCCAGTCCCTCAGATCACTACCAAGTATTAGCAAGTGGTAAACACCAGATACAGTAAAACTGCAAATAAAAATTATTTTTTTCTGAATGAGTAGTAGCACGAACCAATGGCAAGGTAAAATTAAAAGTTTATAATATCATGATCAAAGTTAATGTAGAGTCAACTGGTATAGAGACTTTGCTTTATAAAAATGAACACATGAAACAATGTTGTTTATGGATTTCCTTTGTTTCAAGTTTTAGTTAGAAAACAACAAAGAGATTGGAATGAATGTCCGATGATTAGCAAGAAACAACTTTGGAAGAAGAAATGAATGGAAATAAATTTAATGGTAACATCCAACACGTGAAGAGTGCTATCACCATCCGAAACATATATGATGCCAAAGACCAACGTCATTGAGATGGTTATTTTCTATGTTGGTACAAGATGGTCCTTGTTGCTCTGAGTGAGGGTGATAAACCCTCTGCAGAGGATAGAGAGACTAATCATTTTTTTTATCCTCATAGATTACGATGTACTCCTATAAGCCAATGTTTTTATTTATTGAAAATATTATTCTACTTGAGAGCATTTTTCACAACATCGAACAAGAGTTCTTCTGGCAATTTGTAAGGCAAGGGATTTCACCCAGAAAAACTCTTTGAGATTACACGTTATCTAGTAAAATTGATCTGGCATGGTGTTAGTAAAAGTTGGCTGCCTTTAATGCTAAGAATCACCAAACAAGAGTCACTATAAGGAATTCTTTACTGGTTACAGTTGGGTACCAACTAAGTGGGAGCTCTGGTGTTAAGAGTAGGGTTGTGGTAGACAGGGAAGTATAAAAAAACACTCTAAGAAATTATAGGTATGGAAGTTTTTGTTAGATCTTTATTGCAGTATGTTGTTTGAGAAATATCTGTGCTAGCTGTCCTTAACTTTGAATATATATAGTAGCTAGTCAACACCACACATCGCCAACTTTTGGGCTACTCTAATCAAATAGTGGAATTTGACTGTGTTAACTTAAAACTCACTGCAGTTGTTAGGAGTTCATTATCTCAAATAAAGAAAGATATTTCAGATTTATTTTATATTATTCAATTCTTTTAAAACTTTTAGTTTTCTAAACATCATGGGAATGTAATGTTTCGTGATCGAGTTTCTCATCATACTATTTTACGTTATTTTTAAATAATTATCCCCACAGAGATCAAACTTTTACGTTGTTTTCAATTTATTATCCTATTCTAAGATGACTGGACTTTTTACTTTACAAAATGAAATGAAAAGCAATTTTTATTTAGCTTTTCTCAACAGAAAAAAAACAACAACAACAAAAAACATAAGTTTACATTTTAAATGGGACGGTTTGTAAAAGATAAAACAAAAACATATAATATCACTACAGTACAGGAATATGACTAGCACGACATAGAAAACTATAAATGCACAAATGTTACTTGCTAAAGAAACAAGGATACATAAGATATAGAAACTACAGTTTTAATGAGCTCAAAGAAATAAGATATAACTTAACAGGTTTCCTTACTAAAACTTAATTCTAAAGGAATTTTGTCTACACACACACACACACATGCTTCTTTTAACTAGTAACAGTACTAACAGTGGTATGTATCATGCAAATATAAGTCTATCAGTTTGGAAGCTAATTAACGTTTACCAAAGTTATTACTTTGAAAGTTAATTTTTGGAGCATACTTAACCTGACTTAGGGAATTGGATGATGTCTACAAACATTAAAAATTACAAAATAAAATTTCTTTTCATCAACTTTGCATTTCCTCTAAGTACAAGATGTTATCAATTTAAGTAGTTCAGTATCCAAATAATAGACAAAAATTTATAAACATTATAAAAAAAATTCTCTCAACGAACTTAATGCATATTTGAATTAAAGTTTCATAAATCTTTATAGCACTTAAACAAAAGGTTTTTGAAGACTGTGTTTTAATGTGGAAGGTAAAATAAAAATTAATGCTTTGAGGTTTTATGCTTTTCTAAAATGAAGTAAAGAAACCTTAAGCCTTTTATAATCCATGTTCTGCTTGGAGTTTGAGATTTTCTAATAAACTATTTAAAAGGTTTAATAGTGATTACGTTTATTGATCATTAAAAAACTAATTTTGCCATCACAAGTAGAACATTAACCCAATAACAACATGTTGTTAATTAATTACCATGTCAACATTTATAACACTTCAAACTTTGAACAGTTTATTTCATAATCTTGATAAATATTGAGTGAAAACACATTACTCATGAGAGTTCAAAACAAAATGTGACCTCCTCTATCACCGTGGATCAAATCACTGTTTTTGGCAAGTCTCTGTATTCCATCCAGTTGATATATATATATATATATATATAAAGTCAAAAAATATTCTTCCCATATTTTAAGAAAATAATTGATCATTGAAAAAACTAATTTAAAGTTTTTGATTACTCATAAAAAGGTGAAATAGACAGAGATCTTATAAATAACAATGTAAAAAAAAATGCACATTTTATACGACAGGTTTACATAGCTAACATATGAAACTAATATTCTAAAAACAAATAATCAAAGACACTCAAAACATATATCAACATGGAGATACACCTAATAAAATCATCGGATATAAATGAAACGATGATGATGTTATGGATGTGTTACTGACACAAACTGATATTGAGTTTTTACAAAGTTGTCTGTGAAAATGACAGTTTTTGTATATGAAACAAGGACATGTGGTATGTTCTGTAAAAGAAAACAAGATTAACTTTTATTATTAAATAGTACCAAAGCTATGTTTAGTAAATAGGTTATGGTAAGTTTGTATATTCTGTATAAGAAAACAAGATTAATTGAAACTATTATATAGAAAGTC